CTTTTGCACATGTTGCAAGAGCAAAATAATAGGAAATCCATAATGAGGCTGGAAGATAATTTTGCCTTATTGTATATTCATTCATAAAGGAGATTAGATTTTTTAAAAATATTATTAACTACTTAATTAAAAAAAAAAAAAAAATCCTGTGAAAGTTTGTATGAAAGGACCATCCAGAAGGCTGCCTGTTCCTTCTTGCCCTGCTCCTTCAGGTAGCTGCACCCAGAAAGCATTATCCTTAAATTTAAAAAGTACTAGCTATTTCCAGCTCAATACAGACTTGCACACAAGGAGGACTGCTTTGGTGGTCTTGCCATAACAGGAGGGTGTCACTCTAAGCCACACCGTGCCACGGACGTCTCATCCCCACAGCAATTTGGGGTTGAATAGCAGCCCAGTGCCCAGGCAGCTGGGGATGAGCAATCCCCTTTCCTAGCAGCAGAAACCCAAAGCACAGAGAGATTCAGGGCTGTGACAAAGCCAAATGCAAGCATTTAAAAAACACACCATGGGCTTTCTGTCTATGCCTTGAGACTGCACTTTTATCACTGCCACGCCAGATGGCTGCCACCACCTTATCTCTGCAGCTACACCTCACTGGGACTCGTCTCCCTTCCCCAGGTCCATCAAAGCACGGCCTGATCACACTGCTTCCTGCATCACTGCCACCGCTTATCTCCCCATTTCCCACCCTTCCCAGCAGGTCTGCCCCCCACAGCAAAGCAGCCGAGCAGGTACAGAGAGCCAGGGCACAGTCAGCTCTCAGCCCTCGCCAGCCCATAAGCCACAGCAGTGCTGGGGGTCACCCCAGCAGCCCCCCACAGCACAGGTCTGCAGAGACCCCAGGCTCTAACACTGCACATCAGCTGGAAGATTTGCTGGATTTCCTGTTCATTGCCGGTTTGGGGATGCCACACCGCGTTTGGATTTTATTCTTTCTCCACGTACCCACGCAATGAAAAGGTGGCAGAGCGTGGGAGTGGAAGCTCTCACCAAGAACTTGCTGAGGGATGGGCATTTGCATCTGCTGTTTGCTGCCAAAAATAGAAGCAAACCTGAGCTAAGGTAAACGAGAGCACTGAGCAGGAGGAGACGGTGTGAAAGGAGCCAGGGGACTCGTTTATGGGTTATTCTGTTTGTTCAGTACTGGGTTGTCACAGCAGGAACAAGTACTGTCCTATCCCAAAGAGGCAATTAAACCCTGCAGATCTATTGTGCTGAAAAGCAGCAAGTCCTAAACTCAGTATGCTCCCCAAAATACCATGGGCTCCTCTCAAAACTGCAGTATTTTCAGGTGCATTGATCTGTGAAAAACAGATACACGCAGGTATCTACGCTGGCAGGCAGAGGATCGTTTTTAAGGGTCCTTTGTAACTTCAGGCCTTCCTCCATATGCAGGAGTGTAACTGGCACAACTGCAGCAGACAGCAGTGCCAGAGATTTTGTCTAGATAGTTTTTAAACTCCTAAGGCAGGCATTTCTTCTTCAGCTTAAATTCAAGATTTGTTACAGTTCCTGAACAGGGCACAACCAGTCTTCCAGGAAAGCTTGTTTGTTTTAAATACATCGCAATGCTTCAGCCAGCAGAAGAACCTATGACCAAAAAAGCCTCATAAATTTTATTAAGTATTATGTATGCTTTAGCAATACATTAACTCCTCATCTATCTTCTTGAAAGATTTCACCACTCCACTCCAGCCATGTAGCCTCCCAGTAGGGAAGACCCAGAACAAATCTTTTAGCGCTATGAATAATACTGTGCAACTCAGCTGCATCACAACCCATTCCTTCAGCGCAAACTGCCGTGATTAATGCTGTAGCAGTGGTTAGGGCTCCCTGTGCTAGTTCAGCTAAGGGATAGCTATATTTAATTTTACTGTTATTCTAGTATGATCTAGTTTTGATAACAACTACATCCCTCATCCGATTTATTTATTTTTTTAAATGCAGAGAAAATGCTTCTGGTCCTGGAGGATGTCTATCCCACCTGCAGCAGGAGGGGTCAGGTGGGAAGATGCCTCAGTCTTCCCCAGGGATTCCCTCCATGGCTAAAGATCTCAACACCACCAAGATTTTTCTAAGCTTAACCCTCAGTCTCCTCCATCACCATTTAAACCAGTTATTTTTGGCTTAATCTTGTCTGTGCATTGTGGACATTAAAGCAAGCAGCCCATGCACACAAAAATGTATTCCTTACCAATATTGCCTGTACAGTTGCAGAATTATCTTCTGTTTTTCAGCTCTTCTCTAGAGTAAAACTCAGTCCCTCACATCATATTTTACAGTTGCTGGGCTGGGAGCTGCTGAGCCCAACCTGGCCACCAGCTCCGGGTGGAAGGAGGGAAGAGCAGGGGTGAGCAGGGCTGGCTGTTCCCTTTCCCTTGCTGATCTCCCTGCTCTTACCCATCTTACACCTTCCTGTTTCTGAGTACATGAGCTACAGAGCTAAAGGGGCATCCCTGCACCCTGGGCCCCAATTTGGGGTGGAGGGAGGGTGTTTTCATAACTGTCCCTCATGCCAACAGTGGAATTTAAAATAGCCTTTGAGTTGATCTGTAATTGGTTTCCTTGCACATGCAGCTCTTTCCCAAATACAAACCTGCCCATCTGGTGTTTTGCCACTTTAAATGAGGCTTTGGTGAGATGGTCTCAGCCTTCACGCAGCGCTGCATCCATCTGCAGAGGCTGATGTCAGATGTAACGGGAGGGTCCCCCACGTCACAGGTACAGAGACACCCCAGGGCTCACACTCCAAAATCTGTCCTCTGCGGGAACAGGTTGAGCACTGTCACAGAGCCAGACCAGCCAGCTACAGAAGTCACTTGCTCAGCCCTTTAACAATACACTAGCAAATCTTTCTTTTTTTTTTACATGGTTTTCAGGGGCAAGATATGATTTAATAATGTTGCTTTAAAGGCATTATCAAAACTTTGGTGGTCTTCAGTGTATTTCCTAAAACAGCAGCTATGACTCTACTTTCATCTAGAAAGAAAATTACTCTGGCCCACCTGTGCCTGTGGAAGGACTCTTACACAGGGGAGCATGGCCAGCCACAAAGCTCACAAATTAAAATGAAAACTTGAAAAAAAATTCTTTTCAATTGTCATGCCTTTTTAAACCATTTTCACAACTTGTGGCGGGTCTGTATGAGTTTCTTTAATCTGTACCAATATTTCCTTACTGCTGCCCTTGGCCAGCCTTACTTGAAGCTGCTGCACCACAGATTGAGCTGCCTGGAGGCACTTCATAACATGATTCAGCTGTAATATTGACAAGCCAGCCCTTACACAGCCATCGGACGCAGCACAAGCTGCCACGCCAGCACACAGAAAAGGCCCAGCATATGTCCCACCACCTCATCCCAAGAATGTATCTTTATTGCGCTATAAATTATTGTATTTAGTCAGATTCTCTGGTTTGTCATTGCAGTGCTATACCAACACTTTAATACTGTGGTGAGACCCTCGTACCACAAGCAGCCTGTTGCTCCAATAAGCCCCAAACCCTCTGGGCACTCCAGCACAGATTCAGCCATGGCAGAGCTGCTCCCACGGCCTCCCACCCTCCTGCTCTTGCCAGGAAGCAGCCAGCTGCTTATTGCTTGCCAGAGTTTTCTATTTTCTACCTTAATTTCATTTCAAACCACAGATAGAGTATCTGCTTCAGCACACATGCTGCAAACACACAGTTACGTGCAAGTGCAACCATGGCAGACTGGCCAGATGAACTACCAGAAGCTGCTTTAAGAAACACGAGGACAAAATTTAAGCCAAACACAGCAAAATTTGGCATAACTGGATGTGTTTAAGAGAGCTTGCTATACATTGTGAGCTGAAAAGCACTTATAGAACAGAGGGGAGGAAGAGAGCTTAGATTTTATGACACACAGGTTCAAAGGCTGCTGAGAAGCTGCTTTAGATGACAATACATCATTAACAACCAGCATCCAATATTTAACATTCATGTCTACTCTGATAAGAAATGCTATTCAACAGCACAGGCTGAAACCCAACTCTGTCAGTGAGGATTTTAATACTAGCTCATAAAAGACAAGGCCTCCAGCAGAGTCCTACGACAGCAGAGTTTTCACATCCTTTAGGGAAAAGAATGCTATTTAGGTATTGCTCAAAAAGTCCCAAGCCTGACAAAAACCTCTCCTTCCAGACCCTGAGCAGCTATGAGGCATCTCTTGCAGAACAGTTCCCACTGTCCTTGGAGAACAACCATACCCTGGCCCCATGCAGACAAAGAGCATCTGTGATATCCCAAACTCCTGTCCTACACCCAGTGCTGCTTCGCTCACATGCTAATCAAACAAAATTAGTAGGACAAAGTCCACATTGTCCAATATTTCAGTCACCCCACAATATCCCTTGAAAAAAATCTGTGGGTAATAATAAAGCAGCACAGATATTGCAAATATGAACCATTAATTAATTTCTAATATTTGAATCTTTGAAATGATTTTTCAAGCATAATCTTAAACCTACCCTGGTGGCAAGAGCCTTCCTTGCCCCTACATTATAGGTAATGCTATGTGGGGAGGTTTTTTGACCTCCCAGTTCCCCTGAAAACGGGCCTTTTCTTGTTTAGATTCCTCTCAGGAGGAGATGAAAAATCTTCATTGCAAAGATGCTTCTAACTCCTTTTGATAAAATATTTGGGCATGGTGGGTAAGAGCAAACAGTTGAACCAACCATCTGAGTTCATGCCACAAAACTGCTAGTTGCAAACACAGATGCTCACCCGAGTCTTACCAGGCTTCAGTAGAGCTGCGTGTGCACTTGCCATCCTTGGTTGCTGATAAACAGCAATGCTTTCCCCAAGGTGTCATCAGATAAAATACAAAGATGTGAAATCTGGAAGAGGGAGTTTGCTGGAGGGTCTCGTTTGGTTGGGTGGGGGCTGTGGGTTTGTTTGTCTTTTTTTAAAATAAAAAAAGTGCATTTCTCACTTTCCTTTACCTCACTGCAAACCCTTTGTCCTTTCCAGGTAATATCATTGGTTCTGGGATCTTTATTTCACCAAAAGGAGTTTTGGAGCACACCGGCTCGGTGGGACTCGCTCTCATTATTTGGGTGCTTGGCGGCGGGGTGGCTGCCCTTGGCTCGCTATGTTACGCTGAACTGGGAGTCACTATCCCCAAATCAGGAGGGGATTATTCCTACGTGACAGAGATTTTTGGTGGGTTAGCTGGGTAAGTACCTTATCTCTACAAAGTAACTTGAAAACATGTTTACACTGAGTATATTAAGTGTGGAAAAGACATCTGACTTGGAAGAGTCAGGGAAAATTTGTCAATAAAATGCTTTTGCAAAGTCATTCTGTTCTTGTTAGAAATACCAAATCACTCCTAAGCAGAGCTACAGATGCTTTCACTTCCCTCTCTCACTCAATAAAATCCGTGACAGGAAGGAACGGTGCTGTAAATGACGCTGTGTCCGAGTGACATTCCTGCACGCCAGCCATGAGTGATCAGCACCTTGTATTGAGGAGCTTCACACGTCAGGGAAGACAGATTGAAGCTACTTACCACAAACCAAAGCCCCCTAACTACTGGTGCAGAAGGCAGCAAATATTTCTATGGCATTATATTGTGAGACCTTCCTACAGTAGAATATGGAAAATTGCTGGAGAAGATTTGCCCACAGCAGTGTCCCATGCATGGGTGCCCACTCGCACCACTGCCTCACTTACTGCAACTGTACAAAAATAAGTGTTATAAATTCAAAGATGGGAAATGCTACCTCAGGGAATGATTTATCTTTGAAAATACCACTAACAGTAGTGTGGCTAAAAGAGGAAGGGACAAGTGAGAAGAGCTCATAATTTATATTTGACTGTATTTATTGTGTATTCAACAATAAAAATTAAACCATCAGCCTATACTCACAGCTCGCTAGAGAAGCACCAAAACTCTCTGGACAGCTCACAAGGAAAGAGGCCATGCCCATGTTGGTGTCTTATTTGTGAAAAATAAGCATCATAACTGCAAACTACAGAAAGAAGAAAAAAAATAATAATAATATTCCTTCTCATTTGAGATGGAAAACAAGCTTGTAATGATGGAGCTGGCTGCTGAGCTAGAGTAAAGCAGCACAGGCTGTCCCCACTATCCCATGGGCTGTCCCCTCACCTGTGCCTGCCTCAGCACAGTGTCACCTGTGCACTGGGCACAGCCAGCATCTGGAAACATGCTAAGTGACAAGGTAGTTTTCTGATGCTTGTCAGACTTAAGCTGTTGCCTTATACTAGCTCTCATGAAAGTCCGTGTTCCTTCAGTCAGAGGAATCGCTCCTCTGAACGCTGTCCCACTTTGCTCAGAAAATTACACTAGCATTGCAGCACGGATTGAGGAAACAACATTGGCTTGGTTAAGCAAAATCTCACCTCGTCTTCACTGAGGTTTGTTCTCTCATGGGGGCAGGAGCTGCCCAGTGAAGCCCCTGCTCCCCTGGGACACTGCAGCAGGAGGTCAGCCTGCTCCCAGGAACGGGGTCTGCGAGCAAGGACTATGAAAGTGAGAGTGTGAGACTGCACAGATGGTCACAAGTGCTATCCTGAGAATAACGCTCTGAGAGAGGCCAGAAACCATCAGAGTTTCACAAAACCAAAAGAATTATGCTTTCTAGGGGAGAAAAAGAAAGTAATTGGCAATCAAGTACAATTAAACTTGGCATTAGTTGTTCCTCAGCTCACTCCATGTCGTGTTCAGAGAATTTGCATGGTACCAGAAAGCACCAGACTATGCAATTGCTGTAACAAAGCACACGCCCATTGATCGCTACCCAGCATGTACCTGGGGACTAAGCAATGCTCCCACCTCCCCAGGCAGGGAGCTCTCTGCTGCAGCAGCAGCTTGCTTGGTGTCCAGGCTTGTGATGCACAAGCAACATCAAAAAAGCACAACCTCATCACCTGAAGGGAAGCATTACTCCCATTCTTGCTTTGCAGAGAGACTTTACCTTTTCTCCCAAGAAAATAAACCATGTCGTAAGTATGACAAAGGGTTGCCTTAGGCAAGAAAACTCCAGGTAGGTTTTGGTGTAAAAAGAGGGAAATTCAGTCGTATTTTCCAGTAAAGCTGGGCTGGGATTGTGCCCTGTGCCCTTTCCTGAGCCATCACCAAAAGCCTGCAGCTTTGGGCAACTCCCACAAGCACCGTCAGTTTTCCACTTTGGAAGCACCCATTCCTCCACTGGTACTTGCGCGTGCGGCTCCGAGCTACAAGGGGCCCTTCAGGAGCCTACACTGCACCTCCCTCAAGGAAAAGAAAAACACTGCTTCTCCAAAAGTTCAATTTTCTCTTCTGATTTAATCTTTCTACAGCAAAGAATATCAAATTCAGCACACAAAGCTTTAGTGCATCTGCCAAGGAATTTTCCCAATGGCAAATCTGGATGGTTGGGTCTATTCACACAAAGATGGTTATTATGGAAGCACATACCGTACCCACCCAGACCATGACATTTCCTCTTCGCTTCTGTTGTCTTGTCCCTGCCCCCAAAAATCCTCCTGTTATTATGTTTTCCTGCATAGGTATAGGGAACAAAGAAGTACTGTTTGATTGTAACAGCCATTGGAATACTACATACCCCAGCCTGGCACGTATTAGTGTGCCTGGCAGTATTAACAGTTGGTTGTGCAAATAAATAAATAAATTGTTACACTGGTAGGTGTGCTCTAAGAAAGTGAATGGAATGAAAGAGAGGGGCAGGACAGGGCCATCCCCTGAGCTGCAGAAGCTCTGGCTGCAGAGCAGCAGCCCTGCTCCGAGTCTGAGCACAGCTAAACGTCAGCACGTGAAATGCTGCCGAAAGCAGGGGTGATGGCAAAACTCAGCTGGAGGTGACCCTGCAGAAGGGACACTCTCCGGCAGCTCTGGACAGGGAAGAAGGAAGAGGCAAGGGAGGGGTCCTGTCGCACTGGGCAGACTTCCCGCTTTCATCTTCATTTAGAAATCATCTTGGTTTTAAATAGCATTGGTGTATGAGCAGAGTAACTGCAGGGAACGTGTCACATCCCGTGCTGCTGGAGCCGACCGAGCACAGCTCCTCCTGTGTTCCTATGGGCTTGCATGTCTCTACAGGTCATAAAAAGAACATTACCCAAAGTAGTAAATAATAGGCTTAATATGTATTCTTGCAGAAGACAATGAATAGATTCAGCTTCATGAAAAATCCACTAGTGCATTTATGATAAATACAACTTCTAAATGCTCAGCAATAACATTGCAACTAATGTAGCTGCTTCACCAGCTGGAGAGATGTCCTTACTAAAAATCAATAGTACTGAAACCAGCAGAGAGCTCTAAGCCACAGCTTTGGTAAGTTTTACTCCAAACTGCAACTAAAACTTGCTTCAGATATATTTCTATGTTTCCTTTTTGTTGTTGTTGCAAAAATCTAGGTTTTCCAAAGGCAATTAATTCTTTTGGCAGTCTAGGATAGTATTAATAATATTCAAACTAGTTCAAATATTTTTAAACCAGTCAGCTTTTCCTGCAATATGGTGATCTGTCCTACAGGACATACTTCAGACTGTTATCTTTTGTTAATGTCACACAAGTAGGATACACTCTAATTTCCTATTTTCACAGGCTGCTTTGACATTATGATATTTTATATCTAACATCAGATCTCAGGAGTACAGGCACATCCCAAATACAAGTTCACTAGACTATTAGAGACCCAGATCAAACCATGCTGGGTTTTTTGGTTTTGTTTTTGTTTTCCCCAGATGAGGAAATTAGTATGCAGAGATATCTGCAAAAAATTGAGTTTTGGTGCAGGGACGGATGACTGGCACCTCCACATGAAGGCCACACCTTCCCACCAGCAGCACATCCCACCACAGATTGTCACTTATTCCAGTGTGCTTCTAAAATGTGGAAAAATAATGTAATTAGAGACATTATTTAATGCCCATGCACTCTGATGGGAGGATAGCCATTAACTTCAATGGACTTTGGATCAGACTCAACAACAAAAAGCACAGCAGAGGCCTTCCAGCTAGCGGCCATTGACACTCATTACGCATGACCGCAGGTTGCTCAGAAGAAGAATAACCTCAGACAGTAAGGTTATTTTACTGTTCCTTTTGCCATTAGCACACGCAGGAGCTTGGATTTCCCATGCTCCAACCCTCAGAATAGGAAAAAGAAAGAAAGAGGAAAAAAAAAAAAAAATCACAAGAGCAGCTACATCTTCATTTTTCTCTACATTCAGCTGTCTCCAGCCTTTTCCTAAAGGTCTGATTGCTTCTTAGGCAGAAATGAGAGAAGATTTAACTTCTCTAGTTCTTGTAGTGCTGTAAATTACAGAGTAACTGTGAAAGCTTATCGGATAGGGTTCAACTCCTGACACCCTCAGTGCCACTGCTCAGGCCTTGGAGCAGTAATTCCCCTACTTCCCATCTGAAGAGCTGTACAAAGTGACCCCAGCTGCACCACAGGGACACTTCCCTGCCCCAGCCTGGACTCCGGGCTCCCAGCACTGGTCATACTCCCTCTGCATATCTGCCCAGGGCAGGCAGCGTGCCTCCAGCCCTTCCACTTCCACCTCCCTTGGTCAATCCGTGTGCATCGCTACGGCGAGAGCATCTGAAACTCAGTTACATCCGCAGGAAATTTCAGCCCTGTGTCACCTAAATTAATTATAGCTGATATGGAACAGTTGTTCTTTGCTAAGGAAATCATACTCTAAACTATTCCTACACAACAGATGACAAAAGATTGTGCTTTAAAAGCAAAGACTTCCTAGAAGACAAGGGAGCATTGGGTAATTGTATCAGGATTGATTCCCACCTGCCAGCCACACCAAATGCCACCTCCCCAGGAGCAGCTGAGCACAAGAGCAGCCATCCCATCCCCAGCTGGCTGTCCCTCCAGCTCCTGGTCCTGCCCTGGCAGCTGCCAACAGCACCTGAGAGCAAGACAAAGGCTCAGCCCCAGCCTGGGTGTTCAGGGATGGGAACACGATCCGAGTGACCAGCATGGGTATCTTATTCTCAGAACCAGGCTTTGGTTAAAACTTACCTGGAAAAACAAGATAGAAGTGGGCCTACATCTTAGGCAAGCTTCCTTCTTATTTTAAAGGCATCTTTCATTGGAGCTTCCTGTTTGACAGTGCAACTTTATCACCCTCTACTAAAATTCTGCATTTACTTTAATTGGTGTTATAAGTCCTACATGTATTTCAATTCAGCATGAAACAAATTGACTGTCAGAAATCTACTGAATTATTCACATTCCCATTAAACCATATTCTATCCAATACCAGCTACAATACACTCTATAGTACAGCACATAGAAGCAAGGGCCACTTTTGCCTGAAATACTGTTTTCAGAGTCATTTTCTGCTGGGCACACACAGCTGGGGCTCCTCAGGGGCAACGAGGGCTGAACTTGACCTCACTCAGCACCACCAGCATTCTAACCCTATCAAAAAATTATTACTGCAGTCTTTAAGTCATATTTAGTCTTCAGTGATTTAACCCAGTGGGTCTGTGTGTTGGGGACTGAACTTGCCCAGTGCTCAGGCTCCTGCTTGTAGAACTGCACCAAACTGCGTACACCACCCTCAGCACCAAAGGGCACAAAGCAGTTACTGAAGAAAATGGCTCTGAACCACAATGAAAACATTAAAAATAGAAAAAAAAAAATCACACAACAAAATAAAGAGAAAGAGGGGGGAAAAAAAGCCCTGGGTTTTAAAAACAATAGTGCCATTTGGGAAGTTACCTAGCTCTTGCATTATGCCAGTTAAATTAACTCTCTGGTAGGTAATAAGAAAAAGGAAGCATCAGATTACCCCATATTTCTCAGAAACAACAAGGCAAAGTAAAGGATGGGACTGAGAAACACTCACCATCTCTCCCCAAGGAACCCCCAGCAAGCAGCACTCTGCCCCTCCCTCCCTCCAGGTTCACAGCCCCAGGTGGGACCTCCCCAGCTTGGCCAGGTCCAAGGGGCTGGCAGCAGACAGCATGCTGGGAGGGAACAGCCTTTAAAGGAACAACTCATGTAAGCTAGAAATTATACTGTCTTATATGGAAATATCTTTTCTGAACTTCATTTGTGCTGGGCATCCCTGCACATCACATTTGTGCATGTATGTGAACGAATTCCTGTGTGTGTATCTGTGCGTGTATGTACATGGCAAGAAGGGTTTCACTTTCCTGCAATTCACTAAGAATTTCTTAATGCTGCTTTTATACAATAAGTATTTTTTTTTTCCTTTTCCTAGAGTGAAAAACCAAAATATCTCACACTTTATATTTGCACGGGTGCCTCATTTGGTGCAGTCACCTTCAGCTGCAGCTGGAGGCAGCCAGGCAGCCCCGGGGGGGCCGGCTGGGTGAGCACAGAATACTGCAGCACAAGGCTGCCCTGGCCCAGGTCACAGAGCCAACCTGGATGATGACAAGAAACCCCTCAATGACTGTTGGAGACCCAGTAACAGCCCAGAGAGCACAGGCTGGCCCACAGCTGGGCCCCTGCTGAAACCCCTCAGAGGTGCCTTCAGTGCAGATACTGGTGTCTGCTGCAGTAACATGTCAGCCCAGGAGCCACAGAGATGCTTTCACATTGACGTGCAGAGCTAAATCAAAGCGTGCCCACTGGGCATAATCCTCACTCTTCCATGCATCCTTAAACTGTGATTTGCTTTAAAATGCTTAATTTAAAATGCAGATTGTGCTGGGAACATGGGAAAAGGGATGAGGAGAGGCACAGATAGATGACTGTTAGGTGTGACCAGGATGAACATGCTTGGTCCCAACACTTCGGGAGCTGTCCCAAAGTGCAGCACAGCCGAGGGTGCGTTACCTCCTCTAGCAAACCCCAGCACTGCTTCTTGTGCTTTTTCTTGTCTTTGTAGGTTTCTGCTGCTCTGGAGCGCGGTGCTTATCATGTACCCGACCAGTCTGGCTGTCATTTCACTGACCTTCTCAAACTATGTCCTGCAGCCCGTCTTCCCTAACTGTATCCCCCCCTATAATGCCTCCAGGATCCTCTCCATGGTGTGTTTACGTGAGTATTTGCTTCTCGCGCACACACAAAGCTTGCCTCGGTTTTGCATGGGACCACTCGAGGGGCCACTCCAGCCAGGCTGGGGCCGTGGCCACAACCCAAAAGGCAAGCAGGGGGCCCCAGGACACAATGTGGGATATCCAGTCCCTTCCCACTTGCCCGCAGCAAGCACAGTGTGCTGGAGCGGGGCACAACTGCACCCCAATCCCTGCCAGTCCCAGGGACAGTGGCAGCAGGTGAACTTGTGGGATGGGGCAGTGCTGTGCTCCCTGCAGAGCCATGGGCACATGGCATGGGTGACCCACCACCATATGAGCCCTTCCTAGTCTGCTTTTACACTCACAAATGCGAGTGTGTAGGAAGTGCAGCACGCACCAGCTTGGCATTAATTACTTATGGAGCCAGCAAAAGCAAACCAGAGCTACTGGGACTGAAGACGTTCCCCGTTTCCATGAGGAGGTGGCAATCCCTGCACATTGGGCACTACTCAGGCAGTTACCAGATCTGGGGGAGCCCCGATCGGCAGCACCCAAGGGGGTAAGGCTGCTGGCTGCCAGGGATGCCCCTGAAGCTGGAAGTCTCCTAGGGAAAGGCAATGCTCCTCCTCACTCTCGCTCCCAGGCATCCTAGAGCTTCCCGCAGGAACACGCGTGTCAGTCTGTGTTTTTCAATGCTTTGACTGTGTGTTTTTAAATAAACATAATTTCATTTCACTGAATTCAGTCTTTTGCTCTCCAGTCCTCCTGACCTGGGTGAACAGCTCCAGCGTTCGATGGGCAACGCGCATCCAGGATATATTTACAGCAGGAAAACTCTTAGCCCTGGCCCTTATCATTATTGTGGGCTTCATACAGATCTTTAAAGGTACTCTGTGAGACAGCTCTAACACGGGTATGGTACTGTTGATAGACTTGATTTTTGCCACATACTGCACTGTTTCCTCCTTACAAACCAACCCAAAGGAGCACTGCGTTCAGCCAAGCTGCAGGGCTGTATACTCGTGCTGCTGTGGAAAGGATGGGGCAACAGAGAAATCACCTGTATACCCTCAGACAATTCTCTTTCCAGCCCACCTTGTCAGTTTTGATAGCCTAAAGGAGGGCAGCTGAAGATGTTTTGGATCAGTTACTGAAATTTTTTAACCCGTTGCATGGTCCTTAAATTTGAAGTGCTCTGGGTGTAAAATTAATAAGCGATGCTGGGCTCAGGGCAGGCAGACACCTGCTTCATTTGAGGCATTAGTCCAACTTCCTACAAAAAGTCACTAAGATTAAAAAAAGTCTCATTTATTGTTGTAGTTTAACTACTAATTGTGCTTCAGGACACTGATTCACCAACTTAATGGAAAGCAGAAACCACAAAAGGTTCACAAAGTTTTTATTGTGTATATGGTGAGTCATATCAAGGAAGATGAAACATGACATTTACAGAGAGCAGAAAACTTATTTTCTCAGTGGAAACAGTCTCACAATTTTGACAAATCTTTCAGCTCCGTAGACATTTTGTTTTTCAGTTTTTCTACTAAACACCACCAAACTCTTGCAAAAGAAAACTGTATTAAGAACAGGTAGGAATTAACCCCAAGGAGGAGCCATCCTCAGACTGTGCAGGTTGGTCCCACAAGGCGCAGCGGTGACACCAGTGCTGTGGCACAGCGGGCAGCAAGGGATGCCTGTGCGTACAGGACACCATCCCACAGAAAGTACTGCAAGTGCAAAGCCAGCCCGTGGTGACCTCTAGAACATGAAGAACATGAAGTCCCAAATCCAATAAAGAATAAAACCTCAAAGTTTACCTATTTCCCAGGGTCTCTGGTAGGTAGCACTTCTCTAGGGGTGGCTTAACCTCTTGATTGCGCTCTTTGTACAGGAAACTACGAAGAGCTGACACCAAGCAACGCATTCAATTTTTGGATGACTCCATCAGTGGGGCATTTGGCATTAGCTTTTCTTCAGGGGTCGTTTGCGTTCAGTGGCTGGAACTTCTTGAACTATGTAACAGAAGAATTGGTTGATCCCCGCAGGCAAGTATCCATTTCCACACCATCCACATTTTCTTGAAGTGCTGAGACATTGGAGCCATCTGGTAATATTATTCATTTAATAAGCTGCAGCAATGTCATTCCACATCTATGGGACTGATCTTTCTAGAGGAGAGAGAGATTTTTTTGTTTAGAACAGATAGCAGGCAAGTTAAAGAAACACTGAAATTAAGAATAGATTGCACGAGGCATTAACTGAATCAAACCAGCCTGTCGACAAGCCATTATCTTCAGGCACTATCCAATCACACAATGCTTCTGTAGCAGAAAATTAACCACTGATGAGACGCCACACAAGTATCTATGGGGAGAGTCACTGCCATTAGAAAAATGTTGAATTACATGGGAAGTCACTGGGCTTTTTCACCCAAAGGGGATCTGAAAGAGCAGATTGGAGAGTCATGGCATGGTGGGGCAGAGCTCCCTGCCCCAGCATGGCTGCAGGCACCTGCCTGCTGGGGTGACCGAGGTTGGGTCGCTGCTGGTCCTGGGTATGGAAAGAGGCTTGGAAATTATTTATCACGAGCAGGCTGGCAAAGCTGGAGGGAAAGTGAATTTTAGCTTAGTAAAGCAAAGCTCAAACCTTTCAGCATTTCTCAGCTGATGAAGTGGAATGACAAACGCCAAGAGCAGCTCTTGAAGCGTTAGTTATTTCTGGGCATTCAATGCGCACATTAAACAAGGAGAAGTTTAAGCTATTAATGGATGGATGGAAATTAATTAAAGCTGTGGCCTCACAAGCAATTCTGCACACACCTTCACACTAGTGAGGGGTAAAGTGAACTTCCAGATATCTTGGCAAGAATAAAGAAAGCATGGTAATGTGTTTCCCCAATACAACACCAACATTTTCATGGACCACCACAATTTCAAAACTGAATAATGAAAAGTTATGACTTAAATAAGGCAAATATGGCCTCAGTTGAGAAATAAAAAGGATGGACTTTTGTTTATTGTTTTTGCAGCCTCTGAGGGAAAACTAAAATACAAAGAAGTAATTGGATAATCAAAAAAACTTCCCATATTTGCTAAATCCGTTCAGAATCACAGAAGTTAAATACTTTCTTAAAAAACTTTTTTACAAATCTGACACATACAGAAAAATGCCTTGTTGTGTTAGATACAGAGCAGTTCAGGTGTCCACTTCTAAACAGGTCTCTGGATCCTGTTCCTTTCCGGAGCAGGTGAAGGTTAGGCAAAACAAGGCATTTTATTCTACCCCTTGGTGCCTGTACTTAGGGCTATTGAGAAACAACTACCTCACACTGCCTCAATCCCAACCAACAGCCCAAAGGGAGCATGTGGTGTGTTTGTTCCAGGGAGCTCCCCTCTGCTGACGTAGTGTTTCACAGCACTTTTGGCCTTCTCCAACCTGCAGCAGGTCAAAGAGTTGATGGAAGCATGGCTTCCCTCCAGAGAAACAGCTGATGAACCCACCCAGCTGGGTGACCTCCCCCGGGCCGTACACGGTTGTTGTGGTCTTGCTGTGCATGACTGTAATTTCTTATCTACCCTCCTGATTCTTTTATTAGGAACCTACCTCGTGCCATATTCATATCCATCCCATTGGTGACATTTGTGTATACGTTCACCAACATTGCATATTTCACTGCCATGTCACCCCAAGAGCTCTTGTCCTCCAACGCTGTGGCGGTAGTAAGTAAACCATTCCCTGGATGTCTAAAATACACTTTGATTTTGGTTCTGTGCTTTGCAGTGTATTTCAGTTTCTCTGCCTTCTGTTGCTTTAGACATTTGGTGAAAAGTTACTGGGCTATTTTTCCTGGGTTATGCCAGTCTCAGTGGCCCTATCTACATTTGGAGGAATAAATGGATACCTATTTACCTCATCAAGGTTAGATGGAGTACAATTTTATGAACGTTATCTAATTTGGGGAGGGGCTGTTTTAATTTCATTTGCTAAAGCTAGATGTTTTGTAGATGTTGTAGAGCATGAGGTCATTATTGGGTGTGTTGGATACCTTCAGTTATTAATTGCTCTGTTTCAAATCAGCAAATGTAACATTGAATCGCGGAATCTCTTGCAAAATAACGTTTATGAGCTACCAAAAGTGTCTGCAGATGTGGAATAACTCACAGTAAGAGCCAAACACGGCTTTAGCATGGAACCAAAGTCACTTCACACCAATAAAGCTCCAGTAGCTACAAGCCAAACTGTGCTTTGCTCAAAGAGGAGTTTTAGGCCCTATTGCTGTTCCGAGTTACAGACATTTTCATTCCCGTGCTGGAAAAAACTCCTTTCACGCAAGATACTTTGGATGCACACTGCTGATAGTGGGACCAGAAGCTGTAAATGCTATATTAATTGACCTGTCTGAACTTAATTAAACAGTTATAAATTTTTTTTGAGGAAACAACCCAAGCCTTAAGTACCTTGGGAAAGTTATTTATCTCAGCACCTCCACAAGTATCTTGAAATGCAAGAAATCTGAGTGCATACGTAACAGGTTCTGCACTTAAAAATGAAATCTTAAGGCATGTTAAGCCTTATCCAAAACTCTTTTGACACTGAAAATATTATCTATGAGATTTTTTTTATGCCTTGGCTATGTATGGCTGATCACCTCACAGCCTTCACAGCTTTCATCCTACCCCGGGTAAGGAGGTGATGCTGGCCTGCAGAAGGGACTGGACAGATTTCAGTCCTCCTCCTTAGAGGTAATTTGTCATCTCTGAGCAGTCCACTTCACAGATGACAATAGCTGCTAAAGGCCTCGTATACCAAAGGGTTGAGTTTAAATAACTTACGCCAGCTTACGCAGGCAGTCTCTAATGGTCTCCCCAGTCGCAGCCCAACACCCACTGGTCACAGCTCCCTTCCACGCCAAGACCGATGCAGGCAGTTGAGATTAGAGATGTTACATGGCTAGACATTGAAGAGGCTGTTGTACACCCAGTGGATTCACCATTACTATTCTTATTTCCAGGCTATGTTTCTCCGGCGCCCGAGAAGGCCATTTGCCAAGTTTGCTTGCCATGATCCACGTCAAGCACTGCACGCCCATCCCTGCCCTGCTTGTCTGCGTAAGTTTTACCATCACTGCTCTGTCGCCTTGTAACCTGCTCTTAGAAATACTGAATCACAGAGAGGAGAGCTGGAAAAATCCTTGAGAGGCCATTTTAACCCAGGGGAGGAGAAGTGAGGAGGCCTGGAGTGCTGCTGGTGGGTGTTGTCTGAGCAGCTCCAATGGCCCCAGGGAGGAGCAGCCTTCAGCCTCTGAAATAATCTCTCCCACTCCCAACCATCTGTGATGCCTGGAGGGTTTCCCTCATACCTAACCGGAGCTGCAATATAAGCCCATTACCATTTGTCTCGCCCACCACAGAGGTGGAGACCAGCTTTTGAAACAGAGATACTTCATTTTAAGAAAACATGAGCTCTTTTGACCAATTTTGCCTGCTTTCCATAGAAGTTTGGAAATCCCCATGGTCACTGCTAATTCCACTCGAGCAGAGCTGGTTTAGATCCTGCCACCAAAGCCAGAGACACAGCAGGTCCCAGGGGGAGGACAAAGTGTTCCAAAAGTTACTTACTCTCAATGAGCAAGACATCCTGTGAGGGATGGTCGGGCAGTGCTCTCAGGACCAGGAGTATTTCTTTTCTGTGGGTCAAAAAATTAACTAGGTACAATGATTACAATGGGCCTGAATAAAATATCTGCTAAATGGTACATCAGGCAGACGAGATGTCACCTGCAAAGATCAGAAACCAATGGGCCAAGTGTTGGGAGGGCTTGGGGCTGGTGAGGTTGCTGCTGTGCTCCTGCGGGAAGACAATTTCTCTAATTTTTTTATACAGCATAAAAGTTGATGACATTTGAATTATTTGAAGCAAAGAGCTTTATACACTTTTACCAATAGTGAAGCTAGAATATGTGATGGATTTTACTGAGGCACAGAAGATGTTAAAGAGGGAAATGATTCCTGGTGCTGCTGTCCCTGGCTGTGGGACCCAAGCAAAAGAATTCCCTAAAGCATTTGCTGGAAACCCTGGCCCCACCAACTGCTGATTTGTCACCGATATCAAAACAGCGAGGGTTTGACCCCAGATGCACTAGGAAGGTGAACATTTATGTGTCTCCCAACTCTAACAGCAATTCTGGCATAATACACCCAGACCAAATTTCACCAAATAAGCCTCCTGCACATTCCACTTTTATGACAAAATACCCGTCTGGCTGAGGCTTTACAGCACTCCTGGGGCTTGGTGCCCCACCACAAACATCTCACACATTGCCCGTGTAGGGTTTTGGGGTAAACTGCCCATGGCCTGCCCTGCTCCGGGCAGCCAGAGCACTGGCCCCATCACAGGCTCCCGCCGGGCAGCTCAGCTCCACTGGTGCCGATGAAGCACAACTCCCTGTCCTTAAAAATGCATCAGCTGAAATAACACACTGAGCTCCCAAGGATGTTTCGCTGTGAAGCAGCCCCGACACGAGCCGGCTGCCTGAGCCCAGCTGGCTGATCGATCAGGCGTATGTCAGCCCCCTGCTCTGCTCAAACCATCCCTGCAATCACAGTGCAAACCACAGAACCGACACTGGGCATCAATTCATCATCGGAAGGCGTTTTAATTTGGCTCAGGGTATATCAAATGATGCTAGGAAATATTAATTTCTTAACAAATAGAAATATAAAAATAATATAGTGTAGGCAGCTACAACAGCAAACTGGGTCAGACTTTAGGCAAACCTAATTAATACATCAGGTTCCTTTTTCCCTTCCAGTGAATCACTCCTAGCACTTTGCGTGGAGAAAGGTTTCTTTGTACATGGAGAAAAGCCTTTTTAACATCACCAGCGAGACCTGTATTTTTACTAATCGTTTCAAAAATCAAGGGGCCAAGCTAAATGGAAAATAAACAGACTGGGGGTTTTTTGCAAGGCAGTGGGGAGCGGCCGGCTCTCCCGCCTGCCATGCTGAGGCTGTGGCCGGGCGATCAGGGGGAGCAGCAGGGTCCTCTGCAGCCTCCTACTTCTCGGGGATCACGCCCACACCATGAGCAAATCTGACACATCGGTGACACCTACGCATGACATCTCATTGCTCTGAGCAGCATCACTGCAAAACCCATTAGTGGTGGGAGAGGGTTGTATGTGTGATGCGTATGACACCGTGCACCTGTCAGAGGAAAGCAGGGAACATCTTACATGACATCGACACAAAACACTGCCCTATTTTAAACCCTTTTATGGCGAGACTGCTCAACACGTTGAAATCCTTCACCCCACCAAGCCTGCGAGGCTTTGAACAGGGGAACAGAGGGACCAAAGGGTTGTTTGATTGCAGTGGAGCATAATTCCTGGTGCCCATGGTGCCAAAGCCCTCCCTCCTGAGAGGATTTTGCTATTGAAACCACTAATTAAGAAAAAGTGACATGAGCAAAAAGAGAGCCTGGAGTAACACTGCCCCAAATCCAGAGCACTCTCTGGAGGGATTTAGACATTTAGTTTCCCTCAGGTTCTGGCCACCAGCAGATGATGTTGGTAGGACCAGTACATGATGCAGGCAGAGGCTCATCTCAGCTCCTGGGGTACCAACAGGCAGGAGTGTGGGACCTGAGCAGCAACCCCCTGGCCCCCCAGGGCAGCTCTCCTGGCTTTGCAGAGTTGTGCAGAAATACAGTACAAAGAAGAAAGCGCAGGCATGGAAATTTCCAGCATCCATCTGCCAGTTTCCAAACACAAGTAATGCTCAAAAGATTAATGATGCCGGTCAACTGCAGCACCAGCCGTGGGCTGATGAGGGGAAAGGGCAAAGCTCTCATTGTGTGTAATATACAGGACACCTGCAACAATGTAGTGCACTGACCACAACGTGTTAGGCTGCAAGAAATCCTTCTTTTATTAGAAATCCTCACCATAGGGCTCGATACCTTTCAAAAGGTGCAACACGAATGGGTGAGTGGGGGTGCAGGGAGCTCTGACAGCTCAGCCTGCCTGGCCATGGGCAGCAGAGCCACCTCTGCCAGCACCCCAGGGTATTTATAAACAGACCTCAGAGAACCCCGAATCCCCATTCAGCCCCAGCCCTGGAGCCACAGCTTGGTGATAACACATCAAACTGCAGAAAGGAACAGTCGCTCAGCAGGGGCCATAAACAAAAGGAGTTTAACTGCTTTTATGATTTTTTTTTTCTTGGTTTTATTGCTTTAAATTACCTTTTCTAGTGATGACCCAAGTAAGACCATGCTTCTCTCTTTGCAGTGTTTAGCCACTCTTATCATCATGCTCGTTGGAGACACATACACGCTAATCAACTACGTGTCATTTATTAACTACCTCTGCTACGGAGTGACAATTATAGGCCTGATTGTGTTACGCTGGAAGAAACCCAAAATCTTCAGACCTATCAAGGTGACAATGTTAAAGCTAAATCTCTTGGTGGTTGTAGTGATGCAAAAGGTGGGATGGGCACGTGAAGCCCTCTGTCCTCCCGTTTTGAAGAACAGTTTATTTTTTGATGCAGTGGTAATGCTGTAAGGTCCCAAACCATGTCCCAAAATGCCATTAGTGTGAAAACAGGAGACACAGGCAGATCCCTTGCGAACTTGCTGGGATAAGAAGAGAGGATGGCAGCGTTGGAGGGAAGGGGAACACGACCCATGGGTGGTCCTGAAGCCACAACGCTTCCTGTGGGCCCCCACAGCCCCCAGCCGCCGGTTGGCCGCTGCTGTTGCTCTGCACAGTCATGCTCTGCTCTGCTCTCTCCTGGCAGGTGAACCTCCTCATCCCCATCACTTACCTGGCATTCTGGGCATTTCTGCTGATCTTCAGCTTATACTCCGAGCCAGTTGTCTGTGGAGTTGGACTCATTATCATTTTAACTGGTGTGCCAGTGTTTTTTCTTGGAGTCTACTGGAGAAATAAACCAAAGTGTGTAAATAGGCTCATAGGTAAGCCAGTGCCACGGTGCCCCACTGTGCTCCTGGGGCTGCTGGTCATGCTCGGGTCCCCAGGGATCTGCCTGATCTCTGATACATTGGCACTAAAACAGCCAGGGAACCGCCTGCGTGAGCCCGACCACCGTTCTCGGTCACAAAGTGGCTCTAGTTTCAGCAGCGTTTTTGTGGCCAGACAGCACTTGCCTTTGAGCAAATGATTTTCTCACTCCTGGGCATGTTTGCCTCCGTTTGTGCATCTCCCCACACGCTCAGCTCACTCACAGCAGCCTGTCCCAGAGCCGGTGTGCAGGGGTGTAACTTTAAGCATATGAAGACTAAATAAACTATCACAAAAGGACTAATAAATGGCCAAAAGCTTTGCCTCCCTCCTGCCCTGCTTTCCTCCCAACGTGCCACCAGCTCATCCCTGCACAGCATGATGAATTATTTCATATTCAAAAGATAAGAAAACCATACTTGATCACTCATGTAAAATTAAAACTGCACCTAAATCTCTTGTGTTTTGCTGTGCTTGGCTTTTAATTGTTTTTCTCCGAGGTGAGGACTTTCAAAGAAGCAAGCCAGGCCCTTGGCTCTGACCGGTTGGTTTCCACCAGCTGTTCCCAAGGCCAGCGGTCCCCACCGCTGGCACAGGGCTGACAGTGCCAACGCCCAGACTTAACCTGCCCCTGCTTCACAAACACTGTTTAGTGGCTGAGCTGGAGGTGAAAGGGGCTGGAGGGGATGGTTGGCTGTGCAGCAGGGCCAAGTGGCCCAGCTGGGAAGATGCATGTTCATTCACGTTCGCCTCGGCATCTCACTTTGGTTTAGAAGAGCTCGAGCATCCCCAGTAACCACCTGCATGTTTGCTCTTCACAGAGTCCATGACGTGCTGGGGACAGAAGCTGTGTTTTGTGGTCTACCCTCAGGAGGGAGTTGCAGAGGAGGAGGAGGCCCCCTCAGCCCGCTCTTGGCGACCAGCAAGTGAGACAGCTGCAAGGAAATAACGACTCGGCCTCTGAGGCTGAAGTGGCTTCTTGTTTACATGCTGATTTTTGCAAAGTTTTTCTGTAAAAAAAAAAAAAAAAAAAAAAAGAAAAAAAGAAAAAAGAAAAAATGTTTTTAGAGGTCCAATAGTAAAGCCCATGAAATGAGCTACATCCTTTATGGCATCTGTAGCTTTTAGGTTTTCCCTAAAAAAAAAAAAAAAGAAAAAAGATAAAAAAATAAAATAAGGCACTGGTTATTTTTTTCTGGCAGTGTACTTGCTCAGCAAGGGAAAGCAGCACAGACACAGCTCTGGAATACTGATTTTAGCTGTCATGAGGATCCATTAGAGACATAAAAATTTAGGCATTTCAAGAGCAGGGCAGCTCCCAACACAAAATCAAAGTGGAGAAATCAAGAGATTGTCACCCAAAGAGGTGAGCTGCATTTTGCCTTTACATTGCACTCCAGGCTCCTTTCCAGTTCGCAGCCATTCAGTAGGCAGCAAGGAGAGCCTGGGACACCCATCCCAGCAGGAAAATTCCTATTGCCCTCCCTGAGTGAGGTGAATCCCCACATAACACAGGAGGTTTCAAAGTTACAATCCAAAAGATCATCCCTCCGCATACCTGCAAGAGCAAAACGTGTCCATCGGAGCATCTGTGCACCGGCGCGGCCGGTCCTGCCAGAGCAGAGTCATCGCACTGAACGCCAACCAGCCCGGGCGGACCTTGGAGCAGGGGAACAAAATCAACAGCCTGTTTGCCTGTTCAGACATCTTTTGGTGACAGAGAGAAAAAAATACACAGAAATAGTGATAAAATCTCATCTATCTCAATTTTGAAGCCTTTTTGCAAAGTTGGAGCTGGGTTCCTGTGTCCTGGACAGGGACGGGGCTTGCTGCAGTGCCTGGGAACTCTTGCGTGAAGCGCAGCATGATCCAGGTGCCAACGGGGTAGGACAGAGATGTGGAGGGGTTTGCAGCGAGCTCAGCAGTGGGAACACAAGGGAAACACAGGAACAAAGCCCAAGGTTTCTCTTTTTTACTGAAGTGCCAGGTGATGTCCCATTGCTTCAGAGACAAACTCCCCATTTCAGCTGCCAAGTAACCAGCCTAAATCATTCTCACATGAGATGCTCTTTAGAAAGTGTTTTGCATATTTTATTTGTGGCAAACACACAGAAAAGATCTACTTCACGTATTTAATTAATATATAGAGATTTGCTGCTGTAGCGATATGGCCACTTTCACACCAAAGAATCTTTTGAAAACGTGAAATGCAAGAACAGCTCTGAGCAATATTTTTGAATTGTTACTGTTCTTTTGCAACTTCTGAAAACAAAAACTATCACATTCGGTAGCCTTGGTAGCAGCCACGTGAATTTAATTTTAAAAGTATATTTCTAGGTGTTACAGGGCCTGGTACAAAAACTAAGGATTTATTATCTCTTAGTTTGTCAAGTACCACACGCTCTACAGAGATTTAAGAATAGACTCAAAATAAGGAGCGAGTTCAATGAACCTATCTTTCCAACACAATTCATTATTCAGAAGTACATTTATTTTAAAATATCTATCCATCTCTCTCCAAACTTTCAGATGGTAGACACTAAAACAAAACACAACTTACACTTTTCATGTTGTATAAAGCTGCTAATCATAAGATATTAAAATATATATTTAGCTAAAAAAAAAAGGTGTGGGTTTGTGTGTACATATGCACACATATGAAGAAAGAGTCCACATTTTAAATAATGTTATGAATATATAAAGTTTGCTAATGAAATTCATATATATTCAGCTTGTTTGTTTGTTTGTTTTTTTAATTCATAGCACACCTCCCCTATTTTTACTGGCTAAGCAGCACCTGAACACCTAACCTGTGTCAGAGGCTCTTGTGGTGGAGTCTTATATTCCATAGTTCAAAATCCACTTTCTGTGGTGTATTTCCAACAGATTAATTTTTTCAATAACCTTATTATGTAGTAGAAAAATTAAATGTATTATAGCACCAGCAATAATGATTGCTTTCAGAACTGGTAAGTTTTGGTGTGGTTTTATTTTTGTTTGTTTAAATAATTAAGGTATGGAAATCAGCCAGCATGGCAACTTTGCATCTCTTGAGACAAGAAGTCTGTATGGTAATGAGAAAGGTAGTAGTAGCAATAATAATAATAATAATAATAATA